TAGGGCTCTGCACTGGGTGTGGGACCTACTTAAGATTCTCTCCCTCTTCTCTCTCTGCCTGTCCCCTGCTCTTGAGCACAGGCTTTCTCAGGCTCTCTCTCTCTCTCTCTCTCTCTCTCTCTCTCTCTCTCAAGAAAAAAAAAAAAAAAGTTTAAAGGCACAAACACCTACTCCAGAGGGTCCCTGTGAACATGGACAGGGACTCCCCATGAAGGGTAGGAGGGTTGGCTGAGGGTGCTGGAATGTTCATAATAATACATTATCAGGGAGCCATCTGGGACTCAGACTTGGGCCTTCTCATTTTATAGAGATATAAATGTGGGCTGAGGAGGGACATAAAATCCTTCCGTGAGTATGGAGTCACCATTACCACCTTTGGACCTTGGGCAAGGCATGCCTCAGTCTCCTCCTTTGTAAACACAGAATAATATTGACTCCTATTTCATAGGACTGTCATGTCCTAGTCTCCCATCTCCCCTCCCCCACCAAGCAGGCCGCTCTAGTTACTGGACCCAGGGCCGTGCCTTTCTGCCCTGGGCTACGTGCATCCCCTCCTGTACATTCCTTCCCCCTACTGGCCCTCTCCAGGCTCCCACCCCCATCAATAGAACACCCAGGGAGTGCCACTTTCTTTACTGTTCTTGAATGGTTTCCCATTCATGAGCTTGCTTCTCTGAACACAGAGAAACTTGACTATCATTCACTTCCTAGATTGCTTTGCCTACACACCCAGCTGTGGTGTGTAGGGGACACGACAGGTCCCCTTGCTGTAGCTCACTCCGCAGAGAGCCCCTCCTCCTTGAAATGACCTTGTCCTCAGGGTCCATGGTGGTGCTCCATCAGGGTCCTCCCTCTGCTCCTGGCTGCCCCTGCCTTTTCCTGATGCCTTTCCTTCCTCCCACAATGACCTCACCCCTTCCTTGGCTTCAGTTCCCCCCAGGCACCAAAGGTTCCATCTCCAGCAAAAATCTCTTCCCAGAGTCAGAGATGTGCACACCTAACGCTAATGCTCTAGGTAACATCCCTTAAGAGTCAATAATACCTCAGACTTGAAGGGCATTGGGAGGACTTGATACAACAAGGGATGCACAGTTACCAACATGCTGACAGGCCTAGTAGATGCTTAGCAAATGGTGGCTATTATTATTGTTTGCAATTTTAATTTTAAAATTAGCACCATTTTAATAGGCAGAAATACTAATTTGAAATGAGCAGCAAAACTCTCTCCCAGGGATTGAAGGGAGGATTGAAGTTCTTTCCTCAACCTCTGGGGTTAGTGGGTTGGAAACTCCACACCAATCACTGCAGGCCAACCATTCTAGAAACAAGTTCCTAAACTCTATTTCCAAGTCCCCTAATTAATTAATTGGTGTTGCAGCTATTACTCCTGTTGACAACCTTGGTGACTCTTGGCAAGGATGGGTCAGCCCAAGCAAGTCCAGACTTATTATGGCAAATCCCACTGGCTTCTGGGATGTGAGACATGATCCCCATACGGCAGAAGCAGTACCTCATTAGAATTAATTGGAAGGATGGATGGAGGGAATGAGGTCCTCTCAGCCAGTTGGCTGATGGCCTTGCCGCCACAGGTCGCAGATTGGCCTCAAAGCAGCTCATAAAGCCCCCAGGCATGCCTACATCCTAGTGGACTTGATGCAGGTGAGGAAGGGGCACTGAAAATCACATCCCTACCCTCCTTTCTCAAGAGAACAGACTTCTCATGCCATGATTACATTCTTCCCAGTCTAGAAAAAAAAAAGTCTTGGGTTTCAATGAGAGGGACTTTGGTCCATTTCCATGCCTGTTTGAGGCAGACATGAGGGAAGAGAGGAGCCTGAAGCTTGACAGGGAGCCTCTGTGAGGGCAGGCCTGCTCACTGAGACCACCTCCTGCAGCTAGAGCCAGAGGCTTGGGTGGGTGGACTGCAGCCATCTCTCCATCATCTGCCCCAGAGGAACACCTGCCAAAGGCCCACTCCTAGGCTCTTCCCCCCAGAGAGTAGGGTGGCCCCCGGTCCCCCCATCTCTCCACTACCTCAGTGCAGTCAAAGTGGCTAAGGGAGGAGAGAAAATCCTACAGAACAAGTAGATGCAGTATGGCCTGGGAATGGGCCTCTGGGGGTTCCTCTCATATCACCGCCTCGCTTCTGTGACTTTGGTCTGGTCCCTGGGCTGCTCTGGGCCCAGGGCTGCTCCCAGCAGAAAATGGGCTGCTCCATTTTCCCAGCAGAGCCAGAAGGATGGTAAACTGAGCAATCCTTCCAACAGGCCAGTCCCCGATTCTGTCCTGTGAGGCTTCTCTGCCCTAGGTCGCTCCCCATACGACAGGTAGAGATAGGAGACCTACCTGAAGCTTCTGAACACAGTGGTGCCTACGAGTGTCTCTGACCCTCGCCTGGAACTGCAGACTTAGCCTGACTGTACAGAGAGATGCAGTCACTTTGGCGAGTGCTGGGCACACCCCTTCCAGGACGGGGATGCCAAGACCACCGAGAAGTGCCCTCTCTCCCACCTTCAGAACTTCTGGAGCCCTTGGCTCCATTCAGAATCTCCAAACATCAGGTAACGGCTTTTCAGCTTTCATGGGGGAAGGGGTATCCCCGGCTTCACAGCAAGGCTGGGCCCTGCGGGCATGAGGGTGTTCCTGGCACGTATCACACACCGGGCTTCCCACCCCAGTGTGCCTTGGGCCCTCCAAGACAGGAGCCCCACCCCATTCTGGTTTCCTTCTAAATCTCTGGGGCTCAGTGTGGGGAAGTGACTCTAGTCCTCACCCTCCTGGGACCTCAGGGCTCGGGGCTGGCTCACTACCTCCTACTTAGGACCTTGGGTCTTCAGGGCCCACAGTCCAGGCCCCTCAGTTTTACCTTTCTGGCTTCCCTCCAGGCACCTGCCCCCAACGCCCACCTCTCTCAGGACTGAGCAGGATCAGGCCTGTAATCGCAAACTCGTAAGTGCCAGTCTGTGGCCACAGCCTCCATCTGCCCAAGAGTTCAGTGACTCCAAATACCACATTCATTCTATGACCTCCTTGGGTCTGCCTTTCTGTCAAACCTTGCCTTCCCCGGTCAGCTTACTCGCCCATCTTCACCCACCCAGCTAAGATTCCGGGGCCCGCCATTCCTCCTGATGGTTTACCGACTCCCCGAATCAGCCAGCCAGATGAAACCTGCGGGAGTGAACCCTGTGGCCCTCTCAGCCCCGGCTCCTTTAGATAGACAGGCCCTGGCCACGCCCACAGACCTGTATCCTCACAGCAGACCTGGTGCACTGCCCACCCAGATTCTCTAACTTCCTTGGTCAGCTGCCTTTCCCATTCTCCCTCCGAACGTCTCCATAGTCCTCAAACCTCTGGCCTCCCCCTCCTCCACCCTTCGCCATCCTCTCTGCTCCATCAGGAGGACACAGAAGCTATCAGAACAACTTCCTTAACCTCCTTACCCCCCAACACCATCCCCAACTGCATCTCTCTCCATCCCCACTCCTAAAGTGGGGAGCAGGTTCTCCGCAGCCAAGGCAAATCCCTTGAATCCCCGGTCTGTGCTCTGCCCCGCCCCCACTCCGTGGACTTTGCTCTCCCCATCTTCCCCCTCCCTCGGTCCTCTGCTTCTCTCCTGGTACCTTCCCTTTTGTATTTACACAAGCTCCCATCTCTTTCATTTAAAAAAGGGAAAAATAAGCAAATCAAAGCCTCCCTCGATCCCACATCTCATTCCAGCTGCAGGTCTATTTCTGTTTTCCCTTAGTGCCAAGCCCCTGGACAGAGCCGTCAGCCCTGCCACCCTATTTCCTTACCCCTCAGCTGGGCCCACTCCTGGGGAGAGGGTTTGCCTTCATCGTCTGGGACACCAAGGGACACTTCAACTTCATGGGGCTCAACTTCTCAGGAATGCCTGCCCCTGCGGGCGGCCCACCCCCGCCCTGACCGCACTTAGCTCTGAACTTACCAAACTGGCTGCTGGTCTGTGGATGCCACTCCTCCCCAGGGCCTCTTTTCTCCACACACTCCCCGGCTTCCATCATTGTTTTTATGCTGGTGGCCTTACGTCCGTCCCTCTAGCCCAGGCCTCTCTCCTGGATTCCAGGCCCAGAGCCGACTTCCCACCGGGCACCCCCATTAGCACATTCCACAGGATCCTGGAACCTCACGTGTCCATCCAACTCAACATGCCCTCTTCCCTCAAACCACCTCCCTTCGTGTCTCTATCTTGTTAAATAGTGCTCACGTCTGCCTGGTCGTTCAAAAGCGGCAAGCCGGACGCACACCCCGTCGGCTCCCTTCCCTCCCACCACATGCGGTTCTTCGTAGACCTAACTTCCTCCTAAAGGACCCACTTCTCGATGCCCACTTCCAACAGCCTGGTCCAAGCTGACACCATCTCTTGCTGGATGCCCACTGCCTCCTGATGGCTCCTTCTCCTCCAGAGCTCCAGCCCAGGCTCACAATTGGGAATCTGCAGTCCTGCGTTGCACGGCCCTTCTGATGACACCTACCTTCTCTGCTTTGGCTCCCAAGTCCCCACCTCCACTTGCCCTGGGCCCCCTTGCCTGGGCCCACCCTCTGCTCGTGATGCAGACTTTCCTCGGCCCCTGTAATGCGCTGTGTGCTGCCTCCTCTCAGAACCTTCACCCCAGGTGACCGCAGCCTATATGTCCCCTTTTCCCCCTTGCACCTGGCCAACTCCAGCTCATCCTCAAGGCCCCATGAAATGCCACTTCCCTCTTAGGCTGGGTTTGGGGCCCCGCACTGTCTCCTCCCATGTCCGGCTGGACTTTTCCCTCCTAACAGTCCTCCCCCTTCATTTGCTAGTCCCTTTTTAATTATCATGCTCACTGCTTGGCCTTCAGCTCGGGAGAGGTCAGGGCCTGAATGTGTCTCCTTTATGGCTCTAACCCCAGTGCCTAGCTCAGGGATAAGGAGTCAGCGCTGAATAAGTATTTGTTAACAAATGGCAAAACTGTACCCACCCGTCCCGCCCTCGAGACCTTCCCCACACTGACCTCTGACATCTGCGGGAAGAGGCTGATGGCCAGTGGCAGGGCCAGGCCGAAGGCTGCCAGGCACACAAGGCTTTGTACAGGGAGGAGCAGCCGGGGGCGCGCCTGCAGGAGAGCTGTCCTGTGGGGGAGAGAGGAGGGAGCTCCATGAGACCGGAAGACAGGGTGAGCTGCTGCTACCCACCATGCGGGGTCCCACTTAGCGTCCCAGGGCCAGGCAGCACGGTCCTGGGCCAGTGCCAACCCATAGCTAAACAGTCGTGGTGGAATTCTATCTTTGGAGCCTTCCCCAACGGCACCCTTTTCCCCAGGCTCTGCTCTGAAGGACATTGCTGGGGGAACTCTCAATCATCCATCGTAAATGAGTACTTGTGGGGCACCCATCCCACCATGCGTCCAGCTCTGTGCAAAGAAGGCCACATGTGGGGGAGACAATAGAGGAGGCTGTCAGCCCCTGCCCCTGGGGAGACACACAGCAGAGAAAGATGGTCCTCAAAGGTGGCACATAACGAAGCACTGAACAAACCAGAGTAGGTGCCAGGTCCAGGGAAAGAGACAAACCGCACACACACACATGCACACATACACATACACACGTGGATACAGGCACATGCACACACACATACACACAGCCGGGAGGGGATTATCCTCTTCCGCGTATGGGAACAGAACACACCCCAGCGACCACCTGGTCCACGTCCATCCAAGAGCCACAGAGAAGGGCAATGACTTGCCCAAGGCCATGGCTAAGTCTGCAGGAGGCAGACGGGGCTGCTGCCTGGACTCTTGACTTCCTGCGAGTGCTATCGCTCCCGTGCTGCCCCCAAGTCCTGCCCGCAGGACACTTTGCCAGCCTCATTGCAGCATGTCACAGCTGGCACCCTCCCCCCCCTGCCCCCTGCCATGACAAGCTTTGGAGGTGGGATTCTGGGGCAGGAGAAGTGTACGAAAACCCTCCCTCCAGGCTCTGGGGCCCCAGCTCCATGATAGAAACAAGGTCTCCAGATGGAGAGGGGGCCATGCCCACTGGCCAATATACCTTTCCTTGCTGCCCATCAGAACCTCACATTTTGTATAATCCAGCAGGCCCTTTAGTGGAGACCACCAGGCATTCTACTTGGGGAGGCTTGGGGCCCTGCGCCAACAGGATGGGTGACTGGACTATGTTGGGTGGGCACTAAATCTGATTTCAGTAACTGTGTCAGCGTCCTCATGACTGACTGGCTCCTGGTGTGAAAAGGATATAATCAGGGTCTTGCCCCTCTCCTACTGGAACAGGGCTGGCTATGACCACAGGCAGGTGAGAGGCCCTTCTGGAGGCAGGCTTCATCGTGGGGGCAGGCAACTGCCTCCCCCCCCACCCCCCCGCCCCGCCTCCAACCTTCCCCTCCTGGGACAAGAGCTCCTGGCTCTGAGCAGACAGCAGAATTGGGAGCCACAGTTTTCAAACTCTGGTGTCTCGGTAACTGCTGAACAATGCAGACCCCAAGGGCCCCTTACCCCCATAAGATCTCCAATCAGTTGGTATCATACCTGGGAATCTGTATTTCAAACAACCTTCCATGAGTCTAAAACAGAAACCCTGGGCTAGGATGTTCCTGCTAAGGCACAAATAAAGCTCCACTTATTTGTTAATTCTATGCAAATAAAAGGCCTGGACACAGTAAGTGCTCAGTGATTTTGTGTTATTATTGCTGTTACTGTTCTTGTTAAGTGCAGGAAGGAGGGAGGACCCTAGGGCTACCCTCTAGCCCTTCCCACTGGCCGAGACCCCAAGACCTGTCCAGCTGTTGAATTAAGACTGAATTGAGAGAGGGCAGTTTCATAGGAGTAAGAGCAGGTCAGGTGAGCCTCATATCCTCCATGGACTCAGCCCAAGGCCTCCTGGCTTCCATGGGAGTCACAGAAGGGCCAGGAGTAAGGCTGAAATGGGCTCTGAGATCTTTTTAACTGAGATCAACTTCTCCAGCAGGACAAGGAAGTGGGGTACCCGGGCTCACTCTCCAGACTTACACAGGAGGCCCCTTGCCTTGAAGAGGCTGTGGAGGGTGGGCCTGCCTTCCTGTCCTGTGGCAGTGACTGGGACCTCAGTCCCTGGAGGCATAGACTGGAGGGTCACCAAGGGCCTGGAGGGTGACAGGGAGAAAGAGTGAAGCTCCCTCCCTGGCAGGTGAGGGGCAGGCCCTGGGCTGAATCCCTGGGCACTCCTGGTGGGGACACTGGACAGCCTCCTTCCACATGGGGCTGTGACCTCAGCTCCTCTCTCAGGGGTGACTGGCTGAAATCTGCACTGGAAAAGGGGTCCAGAAGGCCCCAAGCCTGTGCTCCTGACTCAGGAAGCAGGCAGCCCCAAGACTTCAGCCAAACAGGAACTCCTGAAGTCCCAGCCCTGAGCAGGGAGAGTGAACACAGCAGGACTGGGGAGGGGTGGAGGAGAGGGAAATGGCAGGGAGGGATCGGAAAGGCAGCTGGGGGAGTTGAAATATGCAGATGGAGAGATGTGCGTGTGTGCGAATGCCTGGAGAAAGGAAAGACCCGGAGCCTCGGGAAGGAGGGAGCCTGGGGAGCGGCCTCAGGAACCACTGGGGAGGATGTAGTCTGAACCCCTACCCGGCTGGGACCCCACCTGGCTGGAAGGCGAACTCCAGGGCTAGGGATGCAGGGCTGAGGGAAGAGAGCCATTGCACCTGCCTCTGAGTTAGTGGGATTATGGGGAGGATGGATCTCCCAGCCCAGGGACTAAGACCATCTTCCTCCTCAGGAGGGTAGAGCTGGAGTGTGAGCCCTCAGCCCAAGGGAAGGGGCAGTGGAGAGTGAGGGGAAGGGGTGTGTGTGTGGGAGGGGTGCACACCCTCCGTGCTCTGGGTGGGGGGTGGTGGCTCCTCTGCTTCAGACTTGAGACTCTCTCCCTTTTGGTCTCAGAGACAGGGACACCCGGACAAGCTGGGCTCCCACCTCTCTTATGCCAGCAGGAAACCTGGGGACCTTGTCCCCGAGTGCTCCTCCCAAGCAGGTGGGGCTGAGGCCAGAGGCAGAGCCAGCAGGCCCCAGCCATGGCACCACCACACCCGCCCCACGACAGCTTGTCTCCCCGCAGCCTCCCCGCCACCACCGCACACTCCCTCAGCACTTGGAGCAGTCTTAGTTTGCACTCCATTAATTTGCAAGTAGGCTGCTTTGTAAGTGTTCTTTTGTCTTCTTCCCCTGGCTGTCCTGACTCTCTCACCCAACTGGGCTCCCCCACCAGCCTTCTGGGCAGATGCCCCGCTGCTAGCACCCCTGCGTGTGGAAGGCTGCAGGGTGCACGCTGGAGCCCCTGCAAAGGCTCCTAGCCGACAAGGTGGCGAAGCGGGCAGTGCCAGCATTCCCCGGGTGGGAGACCGCAGCCGAGGGACTCTCTCCTCCACTAGCCAGGCCTGAAAGTGCTGGAGCAGGAACCCGGATTCCGTTTTCTTACCAGGAGCCTCGGCTGCCAGTGCTGTGCGGCTCGGCCCCTCCTACCACACAGTCCTGGGGTTACCAGACAGATCTGAGGTTAGTAAGTCCTTGAGGGCACAAACTGGGTCTGAATATTGCTGAGGGATCCTGGGCTGGACTCTTTCTCCTCCCCAGGGACCCTCTCAGGAACTTCAGAAAAGGACCCACCAAACACAAGGCTGCCAGAACCAAATGGCCTCCCTGTCTCCGCCTCCCTGACAGACTTCTTTGGACTCTGAGCTGAGCCAGGCACACGGCCTCTGCGCAGATCCTAGGCCGGGAGGTTCAGAACTGGAACAATCCCACCCAACTTCCCAAAGCTATTTAAATCCCCAAACCAATGGGACACTAACCATCACTCCACTCCACTCCACTTTCTGCAAACCCAGCTCAGATACCAACTAGAAAGGCATCACAGATGTTTCCCCAGAAAATTCCAGGCCTGGGGTTCAGTAGCTTTGAAGACTGAAGCCCTGCCTTCCTCATTTGCCTGGTGGTCTCCTTGTGTGCGCTTGCGGTCACCATTCATGAGGCAGCTACATACACAAGGGCCAGGGGCGCCAAAGCCATTGTTCTCCCAGGATCTGTTTCTTTTTGCAACTCCCATACAAGATTGATTTTCTTGAATCCTAGTGCTCAACACACCACACCTCTGCTCAGTTGCCTCCCATGACTCCCCCTCTTCCATGGTGAGGAAGGGATCATCTCCTTGGCTGGACACAGGGCCCCTGATCAGCTGGCCCCAACAAGCACACTTTGCTTCTGTCTGGTTAGACTCCTCAATTTCCCGCACAAAAGACCCACACCTTGTCCAGAAAGCCTGCCTTCCACAGAAGTCCTACCCTGCTCTCAGAGTCAGCTGCAGCCCTTCTCCCATGGACAAGCCTTCCCTGCTGATGGGCCCATAGTGCTCCCCCCGCCCCCCTCAAGGTCACCTTGGGCTCATTTACATACTGCCCAGTCCCACCTGCAGCTGACTTGTGTACGGGTCATGGCCATCTCTTTTATCAAAATACAGGCTTCCTGAGACCAGGACCCCACATCTGCTTCTCTCCTGTCTCCATGCAGGGCAAGGCCCAAAGACATGCGGATTATGCGATGTGATCTGAAGACCCAAGGCAGCCTGAGTGGGAGGAAGAGCCAGCATTGCGGCTGCGCTCCTGGGCCACTCCTGCCTCTGTCGTTTCCTATTGGAGAACTATAGGCAGATGGTATAACCTCTTTTCGCCTTGCTTTCTTCGTCTGTGGAAAGGAAATGTTACACTTACCTCACCATACTGTTGTGACGGTTAAATGAGATCATTCATTCAACAAACACTAAGCATCTACTACGTGCCAGCAACCGTGCTGGATGCTGTGCAGGGCAATAAATGACACGCGTTTACTCGCCTCCAAGGAGATTGCATTCTAGTGGGCCAGACAGATGATAGACAACGAGATAAAGTCTGCGATGTCTCTAGGTGCTATGAATAAAAATAAGGCAATGGACAGAAAAGGGACTACTGGTGCTGTTACCTCGATGGGGTGGTCAGGGAGGGACTCTTTGAGAAGATGGCGTCGGGGCAGAGACCTGGCTGGGAGAGGACTGGCACTCAGGACACGCTTAATAAATGTTAGCTGTTATTACAATTCAAATGGTGGGAATAGGAAGGTCCCTAAACTGATCTAGAGCCCCAGGTAGCGTGTCCCCAAGCCTGTCTTTATGCCCTGAGGCACCCCCTCCTAGGCTAGGCCACCAGGAGAGTGGGAGTGGTCACTGCCTCCCTCGTACTTGCGCAAGCTCGGGGTCTGCACCTCCAGACTCGTATTCACCTTGCTGCCCCCACTTAGAGCCCTTCTCTGCTCCTTGCCATCCTCCCAGACTCACACTCATCCGCAGAGCCTGCCCAAGCCTGCGTGAAGGTCAGCTCTGGCTCCTCCCTTTGTCCCCTCAGCCTGCCCTTCCGGCAGCATGTCTGTCTTCACAATTCAACGTCCTGCTCATTAATTATAGGATCACTCTATCGTTGCTCATATTGCTGTGTTCCCTTATGTCTTTATAAGATTTGTCATGGCAAATATGTGTTCTCAGAACACGCTTCTGCAGAAGGCAGGGAGGTTAGTACTATCTGTATTTTAAAAACGAGAAACTGAGGCTCAGTGAGGTATTGAGTTGCTTCAGGGTGGATGCCTGAATAGGGTGGCCCTGCCCCCAAATCTAGTCTTCCTACCACAATCCTCAGACTCTTTTCACAACCGGTCCTGCACTGTGCACCAACAGAGCACATGTACGCACACACGTGTGCACACACACACACACGCACACCCCAGAACTGTCAGCTCCTCAGGACAGGGCCAGTGTTGTCCATCTGGACATCCTTCCTAGCACCTAGTGCAGGGTCCTGCAGAATAGAAGTCCCCGAATGTTCACGGCACGATTCCAGTAACACTGCCCAGGAGTGTCTGAACAAACGGGCAGGGTGGGCTGCCAGCTACTTCTGTCCCCTGCCCTGGGCCAGCTGGTTCCTCCTCTCTCGCACCCTCCTCCCCAGTGGTGGCCCCTCTCTCCTGGCTGCCCCAACTCACTTCTCCAGCATGGACATGACGATCGGGGGGAGCACCAGGATGGGCATGGGGAGGACCACTCGCGTCAGCGCCGTCTCGAGCAGGGCCTGAGGGGCAAGCAGAGGCTGTGGTGAGCAGAGCTCCCAGGGGGTGGGGGAGAGCCACCTGGCGGTGAACCCCTCCCCTGGAGCCTCTAGGTATGTGTACTGCTGCTAAGCACATCTGGCTGGCTGGAATAATTCATGGAATTGCTCACAAAGCCTTATTCCAAACAACAGAAAAAAGCCACCCCCATCTTCCCACCACACACATTTGAAAAGAGCAGATCCTTGTCACCTGCCACATGTGGGGGAGGGGTGGCAACACAGAAGCGGCCCCAGGAAGGGGCCTGTGCCCGGGGAGGTGCCTCGGTGGCAGGAGCAGGGGCTGGGGAGGAAGCATATGGAGGACTCGAGATGCTCTAAAAACAAAGCAGGAGCTGGAAGGACCAGAGCAAACAGCTGGGGCCTGCTGAGCCGCGTGAGGCTCTTGGTGCTGAAGGAGGACAGAAATTCTGGGATTTACTTCTTTTTTCTTTTTGACACCCCCTAAAGACAAAAATTTCAAAGATTCTGCCTCTCCTGGATCTGGATGAGAGCCTTTCTTAGTGACGAGAGGTCAGCTTTGCGAGCGGGAAATGCTTCTGCTGAGTGTCTGCTGTGTCTCCATATGGGGTTAACTGGGTCCTTGCTCTGAGGGCTCCCCTGGGATTCCTGGGGAGGCAGGGCATGGTGAAGGCAACAGCTCAGAGGCAGTTCTGCACTCTGATGGTCACTGTGGGGAGTTCCTTCAAGGCTTGGGCTCCTGGCCCTCAGAGAAGTGCTGAAGAATGCTCACAGCTCATAAACCCTGGGAGCCTTCCCCTAGACAGCAAGGGTGAGGGGTTCCTTGCTGTTTGCATCATGAGGAGAGTTACCGTAGTCGGCCTCCCTCTTGGCACATCAGGGGAAACACTAGGGTTGCATGGGAGGATGGGGTTGGGTAGGAAACTGAGGCCAAATCCCCTTCGATGATGGATAGGTTCAGGGCTGAAAATGTCTTCCAGGAAACTAGGTCTGTCATGATCAGCCTGGAGAAGGTTCCTCCAGTCTTCTGAACAGGTGTGGGAATGATGGGGGGCCCAGCGCCTGCACAAGAACCCGAGGGTACAGTGCTGGCACCGGCACCCCCAGGCCCTCTGCCCCTCACAAGCCTTGGATGGGCACTCATGTTCTCTGAGACCAGTGGAGAGGGGAGGGCTGGGACAAGGAAAGGGTTCTTCCCACCTCAGAGGATTATAGAGAAGGCCTCACTGACGGAGGTGAGGCTTGGGGCCCATCGGGAAAGCTGATAAGGGACAGTGGCTGGAGAGGAGGAGAATGCTCAGGTACTCACAGCAGACCCGCCATGGCATCACTCAGGCTAGAGCAACACCGGCCACTAATCACCACTAGGATGAAGGCTGGGAAAGCATGGGGAGATACACAAGCCGACTGGAATTTTCTAAAAAATTCCAGTTGCTGAAGTAGGTGAGGCTGATGAAATGAGAGGTGAAAGATGGCCTTCTTGCAGCAAGATATTCTTTCCCCAAAGCCCCACCTCAGCCACACTCGGTCCCCAGGGAGGTGCCACCTGCACAAGTGCCCATTAACACAGAACCACGAACTACCCGCTCCCATACTTCCTCTTCTTGCCCAGGAGGCTCTGAAAGCCCAGAGAGCAGGGCTCTAGGTCCCAGGGTGGGGGAAAGAAAGCTCTGGGGGGGGGGGTCTCCTCTGCCCTTTCCAATTAACAGATCAGAGAAGCCAGGTCCTGAGGGGTTGGGACAAGAGATGGGATGTCTTACAGTGGTGACGAGAGGGGGGATGGAGAGAAGGACTGTTCAGGGACAGGCATGGCTGGGGCCAGACCTGGAGGCCCTGGGCTCATGCAGAAGGGAGGCAGGGTGGGACAAGGAAGGCAGACCAAGAAGACAAAGCAAAGGCACTATGCACAGAAGCCCCTGAGGAACAAAACCCTCTCCCTGTCGCTGGCCTCTCCACTGGCCCCCTGAGCCTCCGGATGACCCACATGTCTGGCTGCAATCTTGGAGGAGCCCACGAGGTTGCCATCACCATCCAGGACATCGATCCCTTCCTCCAGCTCCCCGTACCGCATCAGGACCACGTTGCAGATGTTGGCACTGGCTGGAGAGAGAGAGAGGGGAGCAGGGGGGCAGGAGTAAGAGGGGAGGATGCCATTCTAGCTGGTGGGGCAAAGCCACCGGGATGCACCCAAGCCTCCCCGTCCCAAGCAGCAACAGTCCTGAGTTAAGGGCCAAGTCTGCATTCAAATGTGGTGAGTGAAGGTGTGGTTCTGCTGCCCATCTGCCCATCAGCCTGCTGAGGGATTTGGGAGCCCTTGATGGCCTGGTGAGCAAAGGTGGAAAATAACCTACATGAGAGGAGGAAGGGGGCAGTGCTCAGGAGCTAGAGAGCAGAGCTATCAAGGGATAGCTACTTCCCTTTCCTCGGGGGTGGGCCTGGCAAGCAGGCGAAGTGAGTGCCCCTCTGGGAGGGCTCCCTGGCTTGAAGACACCTCACCAGTGCCTGATGTTCCATCACCAGCAACTCAACCCCTCGGGCTGCCTTTCCGGGCATGTTCTCGAAATGGCAGCCCCCCACCTTCAGCCCTTTGCTCCTCAGAGTGAATCGGGTTCCCAGAGATCCGCTTCTCTGACTGCAGGTGCCAGAGCAGGCGGGAACCTCAGCACTCACCCAGCGCCGCCCCCTCATCATATGGATGGAACAGTGAGGCTCAGGGGAGGGGGGTGACTTATCTGAGGTCACACAGCAAAGTGGGACAGAGCTAATCCTTTGGGTGCCCCGGAGACGGGCGGGTTCGGGGATAGGGGGCAGGGGTGGGTCAGGGGGAGCTAAAGGCCGACCTTCTCACTTCACATGGTTGGGTTCCCTCCCTTGGCTAGGAGATCATGACAGACCTAGGCTGAGGGGAGGGTTCCTGGCTCCTCCGTTAGACACCGGATACCAGCATTTGGGAGCCACCCATCAGCTGGTGACTAGCCCCAGGAGTGTCCCTCTGCTCCTCTCGCCTGGAACTCGTGGAGCTGGACCCGGGCCTGGGGCAGGGCTGGTGTGGTGCTGACCTTGCCTGACCTCCTCCAACCCTGTTCCGGGATAAAACTGGGGGGACTTGAGGGTGGTGGGCGGGTGGGGAGTGGGGGGTGACAAATGTGGAGGCCGCCTGCTTCACTCCTCCCCCAAAAGCGCCTTGCTGTGTTTAAAGTTTTAATTTTTGCTAATTAATGTCAATTAATTTTGTATAATGAGTGTTTAATTTTGGGGAGTGTGTGAGCCTGGGAGCGACTGCAGTTCTGGGCTGTGAACGCTGATTAGCATCAACACCTGCTGCTTCCCCACTCCCTCCAGTGGGGGGGCACTAGGGTTTGGGGAGCCGCAGGGCTGCAGGGCCTAGTGGGCAGGTGCAGTGGGAGGAGGACCACAGATGCTCCTGGTGCCCGAGCCAAGGCTGGGGAGCCGGCGGTGAGGGCGCTTGCAGCTGGGGGACGGGGTTCTGCAGGTGAGGGGCGGCTTGAGACCCTGGGGGTCTCTGAGCCTCAGTCTCTTGTTTCAATAAAGTGGGGAGGTGGAATAAACAGAGGGAAAGACCGAGAGGCTCTGCAGTCTTTGGAGAAGAAAAGGAGGAGACCAAATACAGTTTTAACATGTATTTACAGCACATATGCCATCTCTGAGGAGCTCTCGTGTTTCCACACGACTCTCAGGCACAGTGGTAACCACGGGCAGACCTCTTCTGCACTGGGTCCCTCCTGTCGTCACAGCAGGCACGCTCACCTGACTTACACAGCCAGGGGCGATCTTGTGGACCTTTGGCGAGCTTTGGAGACATTTCTGATTATCGCAACCTGGGGCTGGGGGGTGCTACTGTCATCTAGTGGGTATTGACCAGAGGTACACTAAACATCCTACAATGCACGGCCTCCACAGCACAGAAGTATCCGGGCAAAAATGTCAGTAGTGTTGACGTTAGGAAACCCTTGTCTTAAACACGTCCAGAGATTGACAGTAGTAGGAAAGTGAATCTGAGGTAAAGGAGAAGTTGGGAGCCTGGCTCTGGGGCCAGCTGGGCTTGAGTTATAGTCCTGGCTCTGAATCTCCCCCTCCTGACCTCCAGAGGTGAGCTCCTGCCAGCCTTGGACCCTCCCGGGGTTCAGGTCCCGGAAGGGTCCCCAGGGTGGCCTCGGGAAGCGGACACCTGGCCTGTGTGTTAGTGACGTGCCCTCTAGTGGCGGCAGGAATACTCTGCACCCCTCACACCTCTGGGGCTACCAGGCTCTTCAGTTCCCAGGAGACCCACAAAACCACTGGAGAGGATCTTGGGGTTCTCTGCCCTGAAAGGAATCTATCTCTGCCCTCTGAGAACCCCTTACACCACTGCCACGGCACCGCTACACCACCACCACCACGGCGGTAAAGGCAAGGCCAAAGGAATGTGGTCCAGGCAAGGAGCATCTGCCTGAAGTAGGAGCCACCGGCTCACTCTGCAACCGGAAGCGGCCGCCCTAACCAGCCTTCCCCAGATATAAGAAGAGGTGCTGCGCTCAGCCTCTCTATGGGATCTCTGGGCACCGGCTGAGCTCACATAGATGTCACCTTCTGCACCCACTCCCCCACCAGGTTAGGGGAAGCCAGGGACTGCTGAGACATCTCTAGCCCCGTGCCGTGTGTGTGCCCAGGCAGAGGAGACAAAGACAAGAGTATTTGGAGGCGGTGGTCAACCAGCTCCAGGCTCATGGTGGCATCTGCTTGCTCGCTGCACTTTCCAAATGTAAAATGAAGCCACGGCAGATAGAGCAGGACTTCGGTTCAAACACAAAACCACTTGGCATGAAACATAAAGCAGGAAAAGAAGTGAAAACCCAGTGTCCCTCCCCTCAGACAGCCCTGCCAGGACAGTTTGAGCACGATAAAGCTCTCTCCTTATCTAAGCTGCCTGGATGGGAAAAAAGGGAAAACCCTGAAAGCCACCCTAAAATGGTGGCACCCCCAGGCTCCTCCCTCAGAACGCCCACACTTCTCACTGCCTACTCAACTGGCACACGCCCTGTAATATCTTCAGTTGGTCCATTTATTGAGCACCCGCTGTATACACAGGTGACTAGCCATCCTCATCTTTGAGCAATGAGAACACCAGACCGTTTCAGTGATTTTATTCCCATGATCTCGTCCAGAACTTCCATTTCTGCCGCATTCCTGTCAAGCCTCCCTGGTCCCTCCCATCCCACTCTTGGCAAGTCCAGCTCCCAAGTCATGAGCACTGAGAGCCTAAGCAAATGAAAGAGAGAGAGAAAGAGAGACCAAACCGTAGGCCATGGGTCTTCTTTCTAGCACACCAGCAAGATCTATTATTGACAGTATCAGCAGGTTAATTAAGCAGTCTGTTAGTGATAATGTTAAGAAAGCTGGCACATTTTCAACTCAGATTGGCACCATTCAAGACTCAGGCATAACTGACGTTGGAGAAGCTATGCTAAGAGATGTCATGGGATTAGAGAGAGAGAGAGAGAGAGAGAGAGAGGAGAGAGGGAGAGAGAGGGGGAGAGATCGCTTCACGCTGATGGCAAGCTCAGTGTCAAGTCCCGAGGAAAATATGCGCTTGACTGCTGCAGATGTTCTCACATCAGACCCATCGTGATGCAAAATCATGCAGATTGTGAACAGCTAATGAAGCACCCTGTGTAAAAGGGACAGCATGGGGAAGAAGAGCAGTAGACAGAAAGGCAAATGTGCAAAAAAAGTTCTCCAAAAGACGACTATGGGGGAGTGTGCCTCTGATCTAGCACAGGAACAGACACATAGATCAATGGGGTTAATAGTCCAGAAACACACCCACCTGTAGGGGAAATGAGTTTGCAGGAAAGCAGTTCTATCAACTCACAGGAAAGGACCATTCAAACACGAAGGTGAAGCAATGGGCTATTGGGCTATTCATTTGGGGAAAACAACATATCTTAACTCCTTGGTTCTAAGATGGATTCCCCCATGTTTTAATGTTTTAAAAATCCCAGTGGGCCTTACAACGGACGTCGGGGTGGCGGAGAGGAACCCTTACCTGCTCCCCACCACAACTGCCTGTGCGTGTGTGAACTTTGCCACGTGGGGAGGTTCGTTCAAGTGTCACCTCAGCTACCCAGAGCAGTCTGCACAGAATTTGAACTTAAACTTAGATTCCTAATTGTTGCCTAAAACATCTTTTTAGAACTTACACTATAATGGAGCACGGACATGAAAAGTTATTGTACATGCAGAAGATCGTCTGCCAGATACCAGGCAATGCAATTAAAGGCAGCAGAAATTGCCAAACCATAGATAGCTACCCTAAAGAAATGCTTGCCCATATGCACAAAGAGACATTTACAAGGATGTTAATTATAGCACTGTTTGTAAGAGCAAATAATTAGAAACAACCTAAATGTCCACCATTAGGGAACTCACATGGGAAGATCTCCAAAACAAACTTCTATGAAAAAATGCTACCGAGTTGTGTACAGGATGATTTACTATATGTAAAACCCCATAATTGGTACACACGTACTGTGTGCCCATAAACCCACAGGTAATGTTTTAGAAGGTTCACACCTCACACAGTGATTTCCTTGGGAAGGGACCTAAATTTAGGAATTAGGGGTTGTTGAAAGACTTCCACTTTTTTTTTTTTTACCCTGTTTTTCTAAATACCATTTGAATTTTTACAATGAGAATAGAATCATGCTTTACTTGTCTAAAAAGTGAAAAGAAATTGCCAAACTTCCTAAAGTGGATCATAAAAATTTGACAGCCAGCAGGGATCGGTGCGACCTACTCACCGTTCCCACACTTCGGTATCTGTATGTGAGGAACTTCCTAAAGAAGCTGATTAACTTCAGGAATAGTTTCTCCTTAAAGTAAAGGAAAAAAATGAAACCACAAGTATAAAACCAACTAGGAAATGCAGACAAAAAATTCGCAAATTCTTTTACATGCTTTCAAAGCATACTGTCGGTTTTAAAGTGGCCAAAAGGGTCAAGATTACAAGCAGGGTTACAAAAAGCAGTGGTGGCCGTGACCCTGTGTCTAACAACCGATGTCCAAAAGAGAAGTGGAAAAAATGAGGAAGGCTCAGACTC